CCAGGAGTCCTGGATTCAAGACTCAGATTTTCCATCACCCAACTGAGTGGCATGTGTTGTTTCAGGTAGCCTCTCTGGCCTGGGGCTCGTCTGCAAAATAAAGAAGGCAGTCTGTTTTCACTGCTGGAAAGCGTTCCATGGTATGAATAAACCTCTCAGCTCATTCATTCCCCTAAAAAAAATCAAGGAACATTGATTTTAGTAATACATTTTATTTACCCCAACATATCCAAAATATTATGTATTCGACATGTAAAATTGTGCTAAATTATCAATGAGATATTTTACATTCTTTCATTTGCACAAAGCTGTAGACTCACAGCCCATCTCAGTTTGGACTGGGCTCGCTGCCAGCCGGTGGCGAGTGGCTGCCATCCTGGGCAGGTCCCCATGTGGTTCCCTCGGCAACCCCACCAGCTCTCTCCCCTTCCCCTCTCTGGTTGGGCCACCCTTTTCTGGTCTGAGGCTGGAAAGTTTTCTCTCGCTCCTCACTATTTCCTCAAATCTACGGTCTGTGCACATTGGCATGTTCCTTCCTTCCTCTTGAAGGCGCAAAACCTTCCTCTTGAAGGTTTTGAAACTACAAGATCCACATTTACCCGTATTCTCTGCTTTCTGCTGCCTCACGCCCTCCCTGATTCAACGGCAGCAGGCCCCGTGGGCAGCAGAGATTAGAAGGAACCACCAGGGCTGCAGAAATGCACTGGTTGGCATTTCAAAACTATTTTCCCACTGCAAAGGGTTTTTTATGTAACTTTACTTCCTGTGTGCATGTGTGTGTGAGAGAGAGAGAGAGTTGGGGTTGCGGGGGGCAGTGACCTGTCTCCTCATAGGGGAAAGATTTGCCCCCAAGCCCTGCGTCCCAGCGGAGGTGACAGCTCTGATGATGGGGCATCGTCAGCGTCAATGGCTTCAATGTAAGAACGACCATCAGAGGCCGTTCTGGGCGCGATGGTTCTCTTTGGAGCACTGGGGAGTGCAGGGCGACAGGGAGGCAGTGGCAGTATTTTCTGACGACTACGTGTATTCTTGTGTTATTTTGTTGCAGCATCTTGCTATCATTTTATCCTCACCACAAACTATAAAGAATTACAGGGTTATTGCCCCATTTTATAGATAAGATTGTTAGGGACAGAAAACAAGAGGTAATGGAATGTTAGGGACAGAAAAACAAGAAGGAGGAAACAGTTTAAAAACAAAACAATAAGAAGGAAATAGTTACAGAAAAATAACCAGGGGAAACAGTTACTTCAGTCTTAAAGAATGGGGTAATTAGACCATGGAACTGTGACCACAATCAGAAAGTAGAAAAACACCATAAACGTTTGACTTTCCCCATCACACATATAGGAGAAAGGAATGTCTGCAACCTAACCTTTAAGTTATGTCCATACCTGGAAAAATCCAGACCCCAAACCCCGTGATGTACAGTCCAGAGTAGTTATAACTGACCTTTACATCAGCATATACTACTCGCTTATTTAAAAGGAAAAACACAGAAGACGACATTGTCTTCTGCACTCACGGAGACAGACCCATTCCCCTTAGGAAATGTGCTCTCACTTTGCACCCTTAAACTTTCCTTACAATAAATTCTTCACGCATACTTGCTGAGTGTCTGCCGTCTCTCTCCGTTTCATGGGCCAGGGCTGGCAATTCCTCCAAGCCAGGAGCCCAAGAACTGGGGAAACACTTCGAAGTCCAGCCACGGACAGGACCGTGACAAGGTAACTGAGGTTCAGGCAACTGGTGACTCGCCCTGTTTCATTTTGTTCATAAGAGGCAGGAAGGAGCTCAGAGGAGGCCCAAAGGCGCCTCCCAAGAAACCAAGGAAATGGCTTCTCCCCACTTTGCAAAGAAACAAAGGGTGCAGATGGGATTGGTCCCATCCATCCTGGAATTCCCAGCCTTACCTACCACTGTGCCTGGCTCATGACTTTCTGCATTCGAGAACTGAAAGTAAGAAAATGATTGGAAACCCTGTTTACGTGTTCTCACGACTTTTTTCCACCTTTGCGTGTGACTAGGTATGTGCGCAGACATCCAGGTTGTTTTTATCAGCGTAGGGAGCTGGTTTCCCACCCACTACGCAATCTGTGCCCTCTCTGATGGCCTGTGGGGTCCCTTCATCATCATCCTTTAAGTTCCCGTGTGTGAACTAACTGAAATACGGTTCCCATATGGTCTGAACTACATGGGTCAACCGTACACGGGTTGAACTAAATCACAGGCAGTGGTCTGTCCTTGTTCTTTTCGTTTTTCCGTTGGCCTGTCTGACCCTGTGCCGACGATACCACATCATTGTTATTAGTGGGACTTTCTGATATGTCAGCATCTAGTGGGACAATTTCCTTTTCTAAAACTCTTTTCGAAAGGGTGAATTAGCTATTCATAGACCTTTATTTCACTGTATAAATTTTAAAAATAAGTTTATTAGGTTCCTCGAAAAATACCCAGTTGGAATTTTTATTGGGATTGCATTGACTGTATTGATTAACTTGGGAAGCAGTGACATCTCTATATTAGGTCATCCAAAATAAGAGCCTAAAATATCTCTCTATTTATTCAGATCATTTTCTATGGTCTTTATTGGAGTTTTATTGTTCTCTCCATAGAGGCCTTATATTTTCTTGGTAAAAACTGATACATCACTTGTATGTCTAGAGAGAGAACTAGGACGGTGGAATGTTTAAGATCGCTGTTTCCAAGGCGCCATCCATTTGGCAACACCCACCGAAATCACTAGTGCACAGACTCTTTGATCTTCTCAGACTTTATCCTTCAGTGTTCCATGAACACATGCAAAATGGCCTGTGTGCATCATGGCACGTTCAACCAACGGAATATTATGGGATACTCTGCGGCATATATATGAGGATGTAAATCTCCACGGTTGTCAGGACATGAAAATGCTGAGGTGCAGGAATTTCGGGAAGAGGGAGGATAAGTACGAGTATGTGGGAACGAGCATGTACACACAGGCCATGTGCATGTGTGTGTGTGTGTGTGTGTGTGTGTGTGCACTATGATTGACTATCTCAGGGAAGAAGCATGAGAAACTATTGACATTGGTTCTTTCTGGATGGCTGGGGACTGACTTTTCACTGTATACTCTCCTGTAAATTTTGAGTTTTGAATCATGTAATACATTGCCTAATTTTTAATAATAAAATTAAAAATTTACAACCAAGTAAAATGCAAGTTGTGGCACTTTCTGGCAAATTACCGCAGAGTGAATCTTCGTTGTTCAGGGAAAAGTCACCGGGTCACTGCCCACAGTGCACAACTGCAGGCAACACCCCCCACACCGTGCTCACGGGAAAGGTGCCGCGTGTTGTGCAGTGCTCAGACTCCACAGCTGTACGAGGCCATCCTGCTATTCCTCCGGCAATTTCATAATTTACTGTCATCCCTTCCACTAGGCTGCAAGTCCCTTGAGGACGGAGAGAGAGTGTCTTTTTCCCTCCTGTATTCACTGCTGTAGTTAATAGCACCTGCAAGTGTCCGATTAATATTTGTTGAACCAATGGCTAGGTGGGTGAATAAGCAAATAAGTGGATACTGCCTTGCTACAAACATACTGTGGGAACTCCAAACCAGCGCCTCCTCCTGGGTGGACTGTGATGCTTTAGTAAACGTCCCTGACAGAATACGGAAAGGAGCCGGGTTAGAATTCTACCTCGATTTGGAATGGAATTTCCTATAATTAGCAGCAACCCCAACAAAGAGTGACTTACAAATGTTAGGTTTATTTGTCTCATGCAACGTGAACTTGGAGTAGGTGGTCCTGGGCTGGCTCAGGGTGCAGCAACGCCCTCAGGAAACAAGGAACTTTCTATCTTCCCAGTCTACCACCCTCGCCACGTTGGCCTTTCACTCCACGCTCAGGGCACAGAAGAAACAGGACCTTTGCCTTGTCGTTTTAATCGACCCCTGATGGCCCCTCTCTGGCTTAAGTTGGAATGTCTGAGTTTTCTTTACCTGGGCTCCAATGGAACTCTAGCCGGGCACCTTCCGTGAGTGGAGGACAAGCAGCCCATAGACGCACGTCCTCCCCACCCATAGGCTGGGAGGCGAGTGCAGCAGGTCCGCGTCTGCCTCCCTCTAAGCCTGACAGTCCATGGGGATTGGGGGGGAAAGTGTCACATGCCTCCCTGTGCCCCAGGGCCCAGCCTGCTGCCTGGCACAGAGCTGGCCCTCCGTGAATGCTGTGGAATGAATGAATGACGCCCAGGGCACTGGGCTTCAGCCTTGGGAGAGGAGTCAACCCAGGCCAGGCGGTGGCTCTTCCTCCTTCCCCCGCCCCGCCCAAACCCCTCCATTACGGCCCGGGGCCACAGCAGAATTTGTGCCTGCACTGCTTAGGGGCCCAAGGGAATGGAGTGACATCTGCCTGTGGAGTGTCGAGGTGAACAGAGAGGACGGTGCCCACTGCTCCTGCAGGAGGAAGGACCCGTATGTAGGCCCCACTGGCTGGCTCAGGCCGAGGCCCGATGCGGAGCTGAAGGCAGCCCAGAGCTGGGTGAGCTGCACCCACAGACCCTGCTGCTGACACCCAGCCCTTCCTGCCCCCACCACACACAGTGGGGCCTCGCCGTGGACGTGTGCGTGTGTGCGCGCGCGTGTGTGTGTGTGCGTGTATTTCCTCTTTTGCATCTCAGAACATTAGTAGCAAAAGGGAGAAAGCATCCAGGATGACTCACATGCACACACAGATAACTAGAAATCTAAACATGACACCAGCCGGAGCAGTGTCTCTCCATCCTTCGGCGGCCACTGACCCTTTGAAGAATCTTTGGAAAGTGATGGGCCCACATCCTGGAGAAAACTGCCCCCAAGGCACAGTTTGGTTATGACTGCGGAGGCCAAAAGCCCTTAAGTGAAATACATCCCTTGCTTTCAGTTGTTATTTACAAAAACCAGAAAGTCAAAAATGATAAGTGTTAAAAGAAAATTACTGAGACCTCACACAGCCGAGAGGTGACAAGTGCGGTTTTAAAGCCATCGGTGGCTGCTGCAGACTCAAAACAGCCTGGGTAACTGCTCGCCCCAAATTTAAAATCTCCCGACAAGCAAACTCTCCGTCCTGGAGAGAAGCGTCTGTGCCCGGCCCTCTCCCCCTCAGTGAGGTCCCCAACATGCCACGCCCTCAAAGCCGCGAGCTTTCCTTAGTGTAAGATCGCAGACACAGAGCAGGCGTTGTTTCAACAGCTTTGTTCTTCTCTCTCGGCGAGATGTTTGAAACTGTATTTATCCTTCTTATGTTGGAAAATAATCCTCGCTAAGAGTCCACAGGAGATGCCACCAGTTCCAAAGCCACACACAGTCTCTCATCTCTCTGGGCCTCAGTTTCCTTGTCTGTGAAATGGGGAGGGATTTGATCTTTGGTGTTCCTGAGTTGGCTGCTCGTGGACACATATCTTTGCATTTTATTCTGCCCACGCCCAGGCAGTCCCGGCCATTGCTCTGGGGCTGTGATGCCCAAAGCCATTCACAGGTGCCGTCCTATCTGAGCCACGTCTTTTCCTGGAGCCACCCGGGACAGGATGGAGGAGCTGCATGCTCCACACACAGAGCCGGGATGAAACAAGGACAAAGAGGAGAGATGAGATGGTCCCCCAGAACCCCTGTCCCTGCCTGTCCTCAGTGAAGCTGGCTGGGTTGATGGTGCAAGAGGGACAGCCGCAGGGACCCCAGCTGCCTGCCATTGTCACCGTCGAGGACAGCAGGCTGAGGGGGATGTGGGTGAGGGCTACAGGGGCCATTCCTGGGCTTCCTGGGGGCCAAGGAGAGCTCCAGATGTCAAGGCTGGACCGAGGTCTACTTCTTCCTTATCACGCTGTACTCGGGCTCCTTCTCCCGGGGCCTCTGGGCAGAAATTCCGTGGGCGTTAGAGCCCTGGCTCTGGTGGTCGAACACCACCGAGGTGTAGTGAGGCTCTTCCCTGGGGGCAGCCTGCAGAGAATGAGACCTGAGGCTCAGGGAGAGGAGGGGGAAGGACGGACCCCAGCTCAGGGTGGAGGAGGGAGGACACCGAGGGGGCCTGGGGAGGCTTCTCTGCAGAGGCCACAGCCCCACCCCCTGTCCTGGCCTCTTGCTCTCCCAAGGACTGGGCTCCACGGTCCTGTCCACCCACCTGCTCCACCCGCCCCTGCAGTCAAGCCACAGCACAAAGTCCCCGGGCAGCAGGGGCAGGAGGGTCCCTGGTATCCTCAGGGCTGCTCCAGCCTGGTCCATTCTCCAAGGGAGAGGATGAGTTCCCAAGAGGTGTAGTGTTCGCTGGACTCCCCAAGATGCCTCTGTGCTCCTCTTAATGAAATGTTCTGCAATGACGCAGCCATGGGTCCCTTTCTGAGAACTCAACACATCTGCAGAGGAGCCCTGGGACACCGCATTGGTCCTGCAGCTCTGATTAACTCACCGTGCTGTGGGCACGAGTCCTGAGTTATACCAAGGGGGCTGGCAGAGGAGTAAGACTGTGCCCCCAATCCACTGTGGGACCAGGAGTCACCGAGTTAGAAAAACAAGGCTACTGCTGGCCCAGGCCCACATGGCTGTGTGGACATAAGCCACGTGAGGAAGGAGGCAGGTTAGACCACCACCAGGACCTCCAGACCCTTGACCAGGAGCCATTAGGGTGCAACCAGACTGTACCAGCTGCTCAGAGGCTCTGGCTGGGGGTGAAACCAGGACGCTGGGCCCCCAGACCACCTCACCCTCATGCAGACAGCTGGGGGGAGGTTGAGGAGGGGGCGTGGCTATCAGGGGACCTGGGAGTGGCAGGGCTGGATCCCCTAGTGTGGGATCAGCAGCCTGGGGGGTGGGGGTGCCAGGCTGGAAATACCCCAGAGAACTGGGCTACTTCTCCTGAGCAGACGAGCCACTGTGTCACCTGCCACCCTGAAGCTGGCCCTCCGTGGCATCACACACATGTCTGAGAAAGGCCCAGCTGGCTCACAGGCCTGGGGGAGCCTTGGTGGCCTCCCCAGGCAGCTCCCTGCCTGATGCTCCAGTCTCTTCCCATCCTCTCCACTACATGGGCCCCAGCCTTGGCCTGCACCACTGATGGGCGGGGAGGTCACCACCCGGAGAGGCAGCCGGTTCCATGACTCCACTTTAAGGAGGCGGTGCCTAAGGGCTGACCTACGGCAGGTCATGGGCAAAAATCTGGAAAGCAGAATTGAAACTGAAGAGCTGATGAGGCCAAAACAGTGAGAAATCACAGGCTTTAACCCTGAGCATATGATATGCAGTAGGTGCTTAATACATGCTGTACTTCATTGACTATTTGGGCCGTATTCACTGACCACCCCTATAGCCCCTCCACACCCCCACACCCCAGCCACAGTGACACTTGCCCATCTAAGGACCTCTGCTCTGACAAAATCTACACTTGCCCATCTTCCGAGTGGGCTGTCCTGGAGAGGCACAAGGTCACTGAGCTGGGCCCTCCCTTCCCTCTCTGCGCCCCCATCCCCAGGGTGCCCTGCGTAGCCCAGGGTTCACATGCCCAGGAGCCAGGCTCTTGCACTTACCAAGGTGCTGTACTCCACCTCCACCTGCCTCGCTGGCACTGGCTCTTCCCGCAGGGGCCTGGTCAGCAGCTCCAGATTCACGTAGTGTTGCTCACTCTGCTCGGCAGCCTGGGGCGGGCAGGAGGTGCTGGGCAGGTGTCCACGGAGCCCACAGCCTCTGAGCCTGCCTGTCTGCATGCGCTTCCCTTCCTTCTGTGCTCTGGGTGCCCGGCCCCGACCTTCCTGCCCTGCCTCCACGCGGCCCACCCCGTCTGCTCTGGGCAGCTTCTGAATGCTCCCAGGTCAGTCTAGCTGGAAGGACCCTCCCTCATTCCACCATTCCATTCCCCCTGGGTGGAGGGGACAGGCTTGCCAGAGCTCGGGATAAGACCTGGTGACTGGATCTCCCAGGCATCGTTCCTCCTGCTTTGGGCAAGCACCCTACTCCATCCATCCACCATCCACCCAGCACCTCCACTGGCCAGTGGGACTGTCTGACCCCCCAACATCCTCTGTCCCCCCTCCCCCCACCTAGCCACCTAACACACTCCTGCTGCAGTCTCCCTTACCTGCCTGGGGCCCTGGGACAGCGCCGGAGGCTCACCAGCTAGAGACAGAAGGAGAGCAAGGAGGTTGAATCCCAGACCAAGGGCAGGGACCAGTTGCCTACGATCCATCTGGAAAAAGGCCTTTCCCTAGGGACCTCAGCCCTGGGGACCTATTACTTCGTGGCTGAAGCCTGGTAGTCGCTTAAGGGTTGCTGAGCAAGTGAATTAGTGAATGAGCAAATGGACGACGGAGTGCATGAATGACCGGGTGAATAAACAGACGAACGGAAAGGTCCCAGCTGGAGGTGAGGTGCCAAAGAAAGCTAGTTCTCAAAACAGTCACTCGAAAAAATGTTCCCAGCTGGGAACAGACCAGGGAGGAAGGCTGCCACGAAAGGGACCTGTGCGCACAGGGACCCAGGGCTGCGTCAGACTGTGGGAAGTCGCTGGGGGCCTCTGCTCTGACCCCTGCCCCTGGGGTCTGCCCTCCCAGACAGCCCACCCGCCTGCCGCCCCGGAAACCACAGGGAAGGAGGCCCCATGGGATCAGAGCTCAGGCTTGCGCAGCCTTTGGCTCTGGTGTCTGCCCCACAGGTGTCCTGCCTTTGAGCACAGCTCTGGGTACCCGGACCCTCCCAACCCGGGAGCCAGGACCAGGTGGGCAGCAGGTAATGCACACACAGCCAGATGCCCTCGGTCTAGGACTAGGTCCACAGCCAGGCAACCCCAGAGCCCACTGCCCCTAATGTCGTGGGGAGAGACCCTGTCCGCCCCTTAGGGAACCCCCAGAGTCAAAGGAGAGCAGCCTACAACGGGGGCACAGGCACAAGACCATGTGTCTTGCTGAGCTGTCAGCTGACTTGGAACATGCAACCGGGTGCCCTGGGGTGTGAACCATTCTGCTTCCGCGTGCTGTGTGCAGGGTCCACGCCATCCTCTCCCCGCACCTTGGACAGGTGTCCCGATGGCAAGGTGGAACAGGGCTGGTGGGGAATGGACAGGAGTTCAGTGCCGTGAAAGGAAGATGGCAGTGAGGTTGGGGGACAGCCGGGTGTGTGGGAAGCTCCCTGAAGGCAAGACCCAGTCTGCCCTGGGTGTCCCCAGGGCCAGCACAGGCCTAGCACACAGTAGGCACTTAGGATAGCTTTGTGTGTGAAGGAATGAATGAATGAATGAATGAATGACAAGAGTGGCCCTGGGGAATGGGCGTGATGAAGCAGGTGGCAGGCCTGAGGGGCAGCCCCAGCTGCAGTCAGGAGAGGCGCTGGGACTTCGTGTGTGTGGCGGGGAGGGGCAGAGTCAGGGTGCTTGCACAGAAAGCTTCCTCCTGTCACCGAGGATGGTCAAAGTGCAATCCGCCCACACACTGATAAACTCGCGGTCTGGGCCTTGTAGACCATTTGATAGCAGGGAAAATGTACGCCATGTTAAGTGCAAAAATATAGGTTTAGAAGAGAATTCATGGTATGATGCAAATTTGTTAAGAGATCATAAGTGCATAGAGAGACTTAGAAAAAAGGCCGGCAGGACACAGCTCAAGGTCAGTGGCTGGTTTCTCTGGGTGGTGGGGTTTTTAGCATTGTCAATAACGGGGAATTTGTTTCCTTCTTTGTGCTTTTACTCATTTTTCAAATTTTCTACGACAAGTATAAATCCCTTTTTTAAAAGGGGAGGAGGCTCCTGAGGAGTGGGAGCCTTTCTGGCTGAAAGCTGTCCTGGCTGGGGAACCCCGGGGGACCAGGGGCATCCCCGGCGGCCTCTAGTTAGGAGCAGGTGGGAAGGAGGACGTGGTTTTCCTTCCCCACGCCCCGCACAGATGTGCTGAGGCTGCGGCCCCGAGGCAGGGGCTGGGGGTAGTGTGGGGAAGTGCCCCCCAGCACACACCAGCTTGTCCTGAGCCGTGGGACAGAGCTGCCCCGTCTCTTCCTGCCCCAAGCTCATCTCAGCCTTGAAAGGCTTCAGTGACTGGGGACCCAGGTTCCCCTGAGAATCCTCCGCTCATGGAACTGAGCTCTTGGAACGGGGAGGAAACTTAAGCCTCACACTTCATCTAGGGCAGAAATCTGCTTTCCTGGAGGTGACCGGGGCCCTCCAGCCAGTGACAAGAAGGCCACCCCCCATTCGTTCTGTCCTTTTACTTATTCGATCTGCTCATCAGGGATCTACGTCCTGAGAGCCAAGAGTGCTCGTTTCTCTCTTTTCATTGGAGCTCAGAGGAGGGCAGCCGGACCAGATGATGCCTGGAGCTCCCTGGGGTGCCCATTGTGGCTGAGATATTAAAAAATACATTAATTCAACAAATATCAATGGCGTGCCTTCTCGAGTCACAGCCCCTGACCTGAAGGAGCAAGTGGGCCGGTGGGAAGGAAGGCAAGGAAGAAGGAGGTGACGATCTAGTTCCAGAAGCACTACGACGGCGGAGGTGCAGGGTACATGCAGGAGGGGCCCTGAGCCTTTCTCTGGGGACAGGGAAAAGGTCCCAGAGGAAAGGAAGGACATCCAAGGACAGCTCTTGGGGTCCAGCAGGAACAGGCCAGGGAGAGAGGGAAGGGGGACACTCCAGGCGCCCAGAGCAAACCCAGGAGAGACCGAGGTTGTGGCTCTTGCCAAGGTGCAAGATGCTGCAAGAAGCTGCCTTCAGGCTGTGGGGACAGGGCGAGAGAGGTGGGCAGGGACAGATTGTGGGGGCTCTGACTGTCCCATAGGGGCCTGGAGTTTTGAGGGTGAGGGAGGCCACGCATGGGTTTTAGACAGAAGAGAACCCCTGCTTCACCGGGCAACCACGCCCGGGCCCCTGCAGCAGGAAAGCCTCCCTCTGGGGAGCCACCTCCCACGGCCTGTCACCGTCACTCCCAGGGACACCTCCTCCGGGACACGTGGTCTGAGGGTGTGCACTCAACGCCCGTTCTGAGGAACGAGGACAGAGCCTTGCAGAGGAGAAGGGTCAGGCCTGCCCACCCCAGGTGGGGCAGAGGGTTCAGGTCCACTCACCTTTGACCTGTTTCTGAAACATCCTCCAGGCCAGCAGTGAGATCCCCACCAACAGCAGCAGCAGAAATGCTAATAAGGAGAGCAGCAGAGAGAGCCTAGGGGGAGGACAAGGTGCAGGATGGGGAGAGGTGTGCAGGCCACCTTGCCTTCCCTATATTTTTAAATAGATAGATCTGGTCAAGTTTTTAAAAAAGTAGACAGTGTAAAGCCTCCTTTCAACAACTCCCCATCTCTACGTTCCCCAACTTCCCCCACAAACATGCACGTGGTGTACTTAAGAATCTTCCAGAGGTTCTTTATGCATATGCAAACAAAAGTGCACGTTATTTCCCTTCCTTTTCTGCACAAAGGAGTCACCGTGCAAACACTGTCCTGGTTCTACTTAACGATACGGCTTGGAGGTCTTTCCATGTCAGTACATAAAGAAGTCCCCGCTCTTCTCTGCAGCTGATGGGACTCAATTGCACGGATAGACCGATGGTTTCCCCCTGAGTGGGCGTTTCCCCCAGTCGTTTGCAATGACAAACACTGCTGCAATAAATCGCCTTGCAGCTCGGCAGTTTCACGCTCGGACAAGCGGCAGCGGATTAACTGCGACGCTGACACAGCCGTCGGCTTGTGCTTCAAGCCGCTCGTGAGAGAAGGGGCCTTCTTCCATGCCTAAGTTTGCATTTATAATTTTCTCATCCTTTTCTTAGATACTCCCCCAAATGACATAAGCTTCAGGCCCACAAAACCCATATCTGCCACCCGTGTGTATCTATAGGGTCAACTTCTGGATTTGACATGTTTGGGGTCTGCATTTTGCCTTGTGTAATATTAAGAGTGTGACCCTAGGCTGGCAGAAGCCTCTGGAAGGGCTTTGGGGGTGTCATATCATGAAGAATCTGGTTGGCCTTTGTCCCTGGTTCCTGGGAGGGAGGCTCCAATTCCTTGGGATTTCCCAAATAATGGGAGTGTCTTTGCTGTTCATGGACCACACCTGAATTTTGCTAAGAGGCGAGATAACAGTGTGGGCCTGGTCACCAGAAGAACTAACCACATCCGTAGAGATCTGGGGCTCTGAGCCAGCCCAACCTCCCGGAGAGGGGGAGGGCAGGGAGACTGAATTCTACCGCGTGGCCAAGCCCCGTTCATCATGCCTATGTAATGAAACCCCGGTAGGTGCCGAAGCTTGCAGGAGCTTCCTGGTTGATAAACACGTCCGTGTCCTGGGGGTGATGCTCCGTGATTCCACCTGGAGAGGGCACGGAAGCTGTTTGGGACCCTCCCGGACCTCACTCTATGTGTCTCTTCATCTATGTCCTTATCTATGTCCTTTATGATGAAACCCTAATTGCAGGTATAGTGCTTTCCAGAGTCCTAAGTCTAGCAAATTATTGAACCCAAGGGTGTCCTGGGAACCTCCAAATTTGTAGCCAGTTGGTCAGAGTATGGTGGCCTGGGGATCCTCAAAGCTTGGCTGGCGTCTGAATAAGGATGGTCTTGCAGAGGTCAGAGCCCTTAACCTGTGGTGTCCGCGCTATCCCCAGGTGGCGGGCGCCAGAATTAATCGCAGCGCCCCAGCTGGTGTTAGAATAGGAGTCTGTGAATCTCGGAAATGGCTTGTAACTGCATGCACTTTTCTGGAGAGAGAGTCTATAGATGTTATCAGATTCTCTGTGGGGTTGGTGACCCCCAAAAAGTTAAGAACCACTATTCAGAGGGGAGAACCCAATCCTTTGCATTGGAAGCCCAGCCCTGCCTCTTGAAGTCCCCTGACCAGGTAAGTCACTTAACCTCTCTGAGCCTCAGTTTACTCATCTGTAAAGTGGGGGTGAGAACGGTGCTGGACTGCAGTGGGGAGCAAACGAGGACGTCCATGTGAAGCGTTTGGCACGTGCCTGGTAGTACGTCATCCGCTCTCATAAACCATCACTCTCCAGCTAGCCCCCCAAGTTCTCCCCGACCTGAGCCTTCTCTCAAAGCCGAGGGCAGGTCCAGTGTGGCCTCAGCGATCCACACCGGGATGCACAGACTGTGGGCCTGGGCGAAGGGAGCCTGGGCCCCCAGCCAGCAGGGGTGTGGCTCGTACCTCCGACTGGACCACATGGCCAGGTACCTGCCCTGGGCTCCTCCTGAGGACAAGACCCCCTTCATGTCACAAGGACCTCACCGTGGGCCGAAGCTCTTCTGGGGTTCATCCTGGATGCTGGCACTGCAGGTGGCACTCACTGCAGACAGGGCAGTGGACGGCACAGTCGGAACTTCGGTTGTGACTGTCAAGGTCGTGACTATGGTGATAGTTGTAGGCACCACCGGTGTTGATGCTGGTGGCAAAACCACAGATCAGACCCAGGGATCTCTCTCCTGACTCCCCCACCAACCGCCAATGCCTTTTTAGTTTCATTTCACACAAAATGCTCACTTAGGAAGGAGGCAGGATGGAGGACCTCGAGCCAAAGTGTCTCCAGGACTCTCTTGGGTCAAGTGAGCACTTCCGCACGGGACACAGGTCTCGCCCTCAACGGTCCTGATTCCATCCTCCGGGTGAGGGTCAGGGCTCTCCTGGAACCCCTAAGTCCCCTCCCCAAGCCCAGTCTTGTCCCCCTCTGGCCACAGCCACATGCTGCAGAGAAGTCTGTCTAAACTGCACATCTGACCTGTCCTCGGTAAGGGAGCCCCTTCCCCGCCCGCCCCCGCCTGCCTGTCCGCTCGGCCCCCTCCCCCTCCGCGGCTCTGTGCTCCTGCGGGGTCGGTGCACAGGTGTGCTCCTCTCCCCTCGTAGCTCTCTCGGCCTCCCCGTCTCACCTACGAGCACCTTCCATCCGTCAAGACTGGGCAGAGATGCCAGCTGTTCCGGGGTGCCTCCCTGGCTGTCTCCCTCTCCCTGTCCCTCTCTCTCTCCTCTCTCTCACACATGCACACACACACGTGCACACACACGTGTGCTCCCCGTCTCTGACTTGACTCCTGCCCCAGCTATTCCAACCTCAGCCTGTTTGGGCGGCCCTGGTGCTGACTGAAGCCGGGGCTCACCTGGGGACACGGTCACCTCAAACTCAGAGGTGACATCAAGAAATTGCTTGTCGACCCCACACCAGTATGTGCCTGTGTCCTCCACCGTGAGGCTCCGCATGGTCACCGTGAAGTTCAGGTTTTCAGGGTGGTCTGTGATGGACACTCGGCTTGTCCTTGCTTCTCTCTCTGAGTCTTTCGTCTCCACGATCTTGTCACATAATACAGCAAAGCGTCCTTTGCACCAGTATTTCTTTGCAGTCCTGTACTCCTCCTTGTACGGACACTGCACGCTCAGGGATCCCCCCACGGAGCCCGTCACGGTGTTGGAGCCACCCAGAGAGAAACAGCCTGGAAAACACAAGGGGGGCCTGGCACCTCAGGTGCCCTCCTGGGAGAGTCACCTCCTCCAGGGGTTCCCCAACCCTGCGTCAGCACCCCCAGGCCCGAGCCCCCTACTCCTTCACTTCACATCACCCCCCGGCCAGGTCACAGCTTGGGCTCCCCCTTTCTGCTCTGCCACCTCCAAGGTATTGATCACAGCAGCCCCTCCCTTCAAACCCCGATCTCCCCCCGCCGCCAACCAGAGCCCAAACCTTCCAGGACTGTAAGAACTCGTCCCTAAGCACCTGCTCTGCCGGGAGGGCCACCTGGCCCTGCGCATCTCAGGACTTGGAGGAACAGCCCACATACCGACCTGGGCAGTCTAGGGCTGCCAAACCATTTTGACAAGAATTCTGGACGCACCTGATAAAGTGTTTGGGTCAAAACAGAGTCACAGATGCAGAAGGCTCTCTGACGACAACCTTCATTTCGAGCTGTGTCACACCTTAGTTTGCCCAGCTCTTGTAGATTTGATTTTCAAGGAAGCGCATTTTTTTTTTTTGTAGAGACAGGGTCTCGCTGTGTTGCCAGGCTGGTCTTGGACTCCTGGCCTGAAATGATCCTCCTGCCTCAGCCTCCCGAAGTGTGGGTTTACCGGCGTGAGCCACTGTGCCCGGCCAGAAAGCACACTTTTTATTTCCGAGATTTATGTCTGCCATTTCCCAAATAATTCTCAGTTGCAACGATGGGAGAATAAGGTGATGGCGCGAAGATAATGTCGGCCACCAAGCAGAGGACATATGACCCTATCCTGGGCGGACAGGCGCGCGCCCGCTGAGCAGTCGTGCGGGAGCTCCTCACCACCCTCGTGTGATTCTGTGATCCGGCCCGTATTGGTGGGGAGGGCGGGGCAGGGTGGGCGAGGCTTGCTCTCTTTTCCTAGGGCTAGAACTCTTCGATTTTACTTACATTTTTAAATTCTTAAATCCCTTCACTTGAGACTTTGGGACCCCTCAAATGCAAGCCCTAGGAAGGTGGGGGTCTCCTTATACCTTCGATCTCTCCAGGTGCTGGGCACATAGTAGGCCCTCAATAAACACTTTAGTGTCAGCCCCTCCCCCACCCCATCGGCTCTGCACTCAGCCCACAGCTGCCCAGAGATGACCACAAGCTCCTCAGTGCCTCTCCAGGGGCCCCCAGAACCTCCTCTCCTGGCCTGATGTACAGGTCCCCTGCAGACAAGGCCTTTCTAAGCTCAGCACAGGTGTGACGTTTACTGAGACGCCCAGGAGCAATTGCCAAGGCGAAGCAGAAAGGGCCTCAGAAGAATCTGCTTTTAAGTCTCGGCTCTATTACGCATCAGCTGTGTGTTCTGGGGCCAGTTACTTAACCTCTCTGAGCTTCAGATGCCTCATCTGTAAAGTGGGGATAATTGTTCCTACCTCACATGGCATTTGAGGCCATTAAATGAGATCATAGGTGGAAAATGCTGGGCAAATGATATTAGGTCGAATCACATGAAATTGCTGATATTCAACTTTCTGACCAAGACAACAGGATTTCATATGACTCTATCTAATAAAAATACTTAGATAACCCTCTGTCTAACCCAAGTAAGAAATGGTAAGAGAAAATAACCACAGATACAGACAGAATGAAAAGATTCAAGACGGCACTTTGCAGAAATTCCCTACTAATAAATGTGTAAACTTGGATTTTCTAGAAAAATGCAAATTACTAAAATTGACCCATACTAAGTGCTTAATAAATAAATGTCAATTCCCAGACCTCCTTCACCCAAGTCGCTGCTCCTGGTCCCCATCCTGACTCTATTCCCGGCCTCTCCTTGGCTGTGAATTGTCCTCTTTCTTATCTGGGTCTTGCCTCCCTTCCTGATCCGGGTGACCCCACCACCCCTGCCCACAGCACCCAACCCTGCCTCTCGTCTGTCTCCAGCGTCGGACTTCCCTTTGGGCTTGTCTCTCTCTCTCTTTCCTGATTCACTTCTCTCCTCCGCAATTTTGGGTGAAAAATTGTCACCTAGTCCCCAAGAGCTCTGCCCCACCTGTGAAAGTGTCATTATAATTTAAGAACTGAAAACTATTATTTCCCCACTTCTCTGGAACAGTCACACTTACGATGCTTCTGGTCCTGCTTTTCTTGCACCCCCAACCCTCTAGCCAGAGACACAGCAGACTGGAGACCGTCCTGGGGCCAGGCTCCTCACTGTGTCCAGAACTGCTCTACCAGGATGTGCCTCTGTCATCTCAATGTTTTCTTTAATCAGAGTCTTGTCCCACTAAATCCCAGACAAGTGAGTGAATCGTCCAACTCAGGAGGCCGGGAGAGGAGCACTTGCATACGCGCCGAGCACAGAGAGAGCACAGTCATCTTTCAGAGAAATTCACAGAAATCAGTGAGTTAGGAAATAGAAAAGCAGTGGAATTAGTGTACGCATTGAAAAACTGATTTTTCTTTTGGGAGGTGTGAACGATAGAATAGACTAGGGAGCGGCCAAATCAAGAAAAAAGAAGATACAGATGCAATTTACAAGAAAAATAACCGGGTTAATTTGCAGGTCTCTACAAATAAGTCTGTAAACTCGGATGAAACTGACGACATCCTAGGAAGATACGAATTACTGATATAGACTAAGAATAGATTCTTTACAAAACAGACCAATAGCGATGAGCGTTATTAAGGAATTCTGTCCCTTCCAAAATGCAGTTTCACAAGTTAGTTCTCTCAAACCTTCAGGGAACAAAGCAGTTCCAACTTCATTCAAACATTCGCAAAGAGCATAGAAATAGGGAAGTTGCCTTAATTCTTTTCACAACGCCAGCATAATACATCAAGACCAAAATCTGGCCAAATCTCTTAATATAATTCACCTTCTTAATAGCTGAAAGGAGAAAACATAATCATCTCGACAGATAATGAAAAAGCATCGACACCTGTTGCCATCGTTTTTAAAAATGCTTGGTAAACAGCCATCAGTGGACTCCTTCTTCACACTACATGGGACAGACTGGCCACCTTCCCTGGGGTCAGGGACCAGGCAGGGACGACCACTACCTCCTTGGCCACTGGGCGTCATTCTGGCCGTACCAGCCAGTGAGTCAAAGAGAGAAAGAAAAACATACCGGAAGGGCACCGAAAGCTCTCAGTGCAGGCCGATCCCGTGAAAACAGGAGAACACCCGAGAATCCATGGGAACACGGGTAGTGGGGGCAATCCATTTCCACATTCATACACAAAAGGTAAGAGCTTCCCATAGACAATTAGCGAACAGAATTGAAGAAAACCTCCCATCATCAGAAAAGCAACCAAAAGGTTTAAAATCTCCTAGGACGAAGGCTGACCAGACTGCACGGACCTGTTTGAGGACAGCTACAAATGCTCTTGGGGGCGCAAAAGCCAAGTCCATGGGAGGAAGCCTTGCCCTGCGGGAGGGAGACTCAGCTGGCTGCTCCCCCTGGAGAAAGTCTCCCCGTCTCTGCCCAGTTTCTCTTCTCTCCCCGCCCTCCCTGCTGCCTTCCCTCCCCTCTCTGTCCCGTCTCCCCGCCTTGGAGACAACTGACCTCTGGTGCCCAGGCCCCACCAGCCGCGCCTGCCTCCATACTCCTCCCTGCTCAGGCCCCAGCCCCCGAGCTGCCCCGGCTGATCTCTGTGTCCTAGACCAACCGCCTGCTCTTCCTCAGTCCTCAGCCCCCCCACACCTTGCACCTGGTGGCGGGCAGGACACCTCCTCCCCAACACCCCTAGCAGCTCAGTGGAGCTCCCTCTCTACCCACTCTAAGATATCCTGCCCATCGCCCTCCTTCCTATAATAATTCACCTGAAAACCACCCACAGAGCCCTTCCTCCATGCCCACCCTTTGCCCCACACCCTGCTGTGGCTGGTCCAAGGTCACGTGGGTGGAAGGGGCAGAGACCCTCATCCCTTCCCCTCCCAGGTGGGCCATCCTCTGTCTGTCCATCTTAAATGGTGGACAAAGCGCACCCCATTCTGCGTTCTACACAGAGTCCAGGCTTGGGTGCCTCACGTGACCCCTCACGCCCCCTCCTCCTGTGGACCCTCCCTGAGCAGAGAGCCCCTTACCTGGGACCCAGAGAAGCAGCAGAGCTGAGGGCAGCCACATGGCCCCGTTTGCAGCACAGACACCACCTGCAACGACACTGGGCCCCAGCTGGACCTGAGACCTCAACCCCCGAAATCTCCCAGGGGAGGGTCAGATTCCCAAGGCTGCCGCTTCTGCTTTTTTTTGTGCCGTGCAGCTTCCTCATTCAGCTTCTTTTGGTTCTATTCCTAGAGCTGGTCAGAAAATGGAGGCGGCTGGGGGACGCCTGGCTGAGACACCCCTGGGAACTCGGCACCACCTAGCTAACCAGGGTTGAGTCGGCAGGTTCCATGGCCATTTTCAGCAATGGGACCTGTCCCCCCTGTGGCCCCTGCAGCTCACAGGCCTCCGTCCGCCCCTCTTCCTGCATGTCCAGGACTGCAGGGCCAGGTCCCCTTCTAGATGGAGGCTCGGTAACCCTCCGCCACTTCCTTGTGGTCAGGCTGAGTGACGCCGCGGGGAGGGGCAAGCTGAGCCTGCTTCTCCCGCCCTTGGCGGCACCCACAATGCGGCCATCTCAGGAAGCCCCCTCCCATGATCCCCCAGCTCTGGGCCTGGACCCCCAAGTTGGCACAGTGTCCCCAGAGTCCCTGAATGGTTCCTGGCCTTGGAAATGTGTCCTCAACTTGACCCGGAGGTCCTCAGGTTGTGACTTTCCTTCCTGTGCAGCCCCCATTGGACCCGGCTCAGGCTAAGCACAGAGCAAGGACCCAGGGAGACCACAGAGCCCTTTCTTCCCTGGTCCTCATGGAGGTCCAGACGATAAACACAAACTCACACACGTGTGCCTTGGGATAAGTGCCCTCAGCTTGCACAGAATGGCCACGTGAGCACAGGACACTCTGACCCTCGTGTGCGGTGTGCCACTTGGGAACCTGCAGTCATTAAACTCAGAGCGTCCACTGCAGAGAGCCCTGCACTGGCCACGGGGTCCCAGGAATGCCCTTCCCGGCCGCCGCTTTTGGGATTTTCATTTTCCTCCTTCCTTCTGGACACAGGAGCACCTTGCTCGGGAGAGCTGGGAAGCCAAGAAGACTCGCCGGTTCTGCTGCTGGAAGACGCAAGGACAGAGGCTGGCAGACAGCGGAGGAATTTCTATGACGATGCAGTCACAGATGAGCTGAAGCTCATTAAGATCCAAGACACTTCGGATCTTGACATTGTTGAGCTGAACATGAAAATGTAGGAGAGGTGTCACATTTGGTGGTTTGTGTGCTCCGATCATGGTAAAGCTTCCCAGAAATTACTTTTCCATTCGACCATGATCCAAAAGGCCTTGCCGCAGTCTCGGATGCCCGGGCCAGGCAGGGAAGCGGAAGGTTAGGTGCTGCTGCGGCTCATCCACTTAGCACCGAGTGACCTTGAGCAAAGCCTGTGGCTTCTGTAAAACGTCAATGGTAATAGTTCATGTGTGGGAATAAATAGTATAATGATTATACAAATACTCAAATGCGAGGTATTTCTTGATGTCTTCAGGCCAGCCTTCTCGCATGGGGATACATCTCTACTTTCAATGAAAGACATCAGGAAAACTGGATTCAGTAGGAAGATGTGTGAATTACAAATACTCTATGGGACGCGATTCTCCTTAGGAACATAGAGAAACACCCTACCTGCCACAAAGAGGAAGGGGTCAGGGGACTAGGTCCCTGCCACACCCATCCTACTCACCCCACCCTGGCCACAAACTGGAAAGAAAAGACAAAACGATGCAAAATGACCACATGACGTCAGAGAATTAAGGAAGTGGCATGTTCTGCTGCTTCCTGATGCCATCATTGGACATGATGCAGGGTTAAGTGAGTCGAGGGCCCCAGGGCTGAGCCCCTTTCCTGGGGGGTCTTGCAGCAGCCACGAAACCCGTCATCCAGTGTGGGGCCTCTCTCCTGTGCAGATGCCCGTGCTCAGAGCCCAGTGAGGGGTGCTGGTGGTGGCGTGGGGGTGGGGGGCTTCAGCAGCATCGAGTTCTGCCAAATGCAGGGTCCCCAGAAAAGATTTGAGGAGCGGATGAGCTGTGAGGCCTCCCAGCAGCATAATCTCAGAGCCGCCCTCCCACTGGGGCGGTCAGCAGCTCCCCATGCACTCTGCCTCTTCCTCCCCTGAGCTCGAAGCCGACCCCAGGGAGGGCCTTGCCCCGTGGGTGCCACTCAGGTGTGGCCCAGAGGCTGGGCCCCCAGGCTGAGCAGCAGGAGGCCGGGCTGTGCCACCCCCAGTGGGAAGATGACTGATCTCCTTTGAGCACCCACCTGCCAGGTGCTTCTGCTGTGGTTTGGTGTACACAACCCGCGACTGCCCACGCCCCACCCTCCCGCTGCTATCTCTGGGGCAGCTCCCCTAGCCAGGGGCTGAGGCAGCCTGAGCCGCCCGTGCTCCAGTGGGTCTCACGGCCCCAGGACCACAGTTGCCCCGGCTGGTCATGCTGGCTCGTAACCTGCTTGGACCCCGGTGTGCTGTGGCCAAGATGGAGAGGAAGAGGAAGCTGCAGGCAGACGTGTGGTGGGCACAGCCAGAGGCCTGGGAGCCCTCAGTGTCCTCCGAGGCTGGCTGCCCACAAAGCCACTGCTCCACCCAGGCCCTGGCCGCAATCACAGGCCCCTGGGCCTGGAGGTAATTTCTCCACCTTGGGGAGGGGAGCCAGGACTGGGACCGGGCCCGACACGCCGGGGCACCCTGAGCACTGAAGATTTGTGTACTTCACCTAAGTTCGGCTAAACGTCAACCCGAAATAGGTTCAAGCAGAGGCCAGTGGTCTGCACACCTGGGATCAGCGCAGCACTGACCCCACTCCCATCCCCAGGGGCACACAGGAACGGCGGTGATGGGGCCGCCTCGGCCCGCAGGGCCCTCCCGTGTCTCTGCTGCGTCCCATGTAGTTACCAGGGATCCCTCCACAGAGCAGGGCTGGGGCGCGAGGCAGGCGAGGGGCAGCTGGCTCCCGGAAGCCCCCTGACTGTGACAATGGGAAGCTCAGAGGGGAAGGTCAGAGCCCTGAGCTGCATGGGGGTCCTGCTCTGTGAAACAGGAACACAGCAAGCACCAGGGCCCGCCCCGCCACTGGGAGGGGTGCTGGGAGGCCTGAAATGAGATCAGCCATGTGAATGCGCTTGTGCGACCCTCAAGGATGTTTTAAGATGCTTGTCAGGCCGGGCGCAGTGGCTCACGCCTGTCATCCTAGCACTCTGGGCGGCCGAGGCGGGAGGATCGCTTGAGGCCAGGAGTTCCAGACCAGCCTGAGCCACAGCAAGACCCTGTCTCTACCAAAAAATAAAACAATTAGCCGGGAGTGGTGGTGCACACCTATAGTCCCAGGTACTTGAGAGGCTGAGGCAGGAGAATCGTTTGAACCCAGGAGTGTGAGGTTGCAGCGAGCATGATGACACTACTGTACCTTAGCCCGGGTGACAGAGTGAGACCCTGTCTCAAAAAAAGAAAAAAAGTGAAACAGATGCTTGTTGAACTCCCACCACGTACACCTGTGAATCTCTACGCCTCACAACTCGGAGAGACAAGATTCTTCACCTGTGAGAACCACGTCTATCCGTGCTAAACCCGTTAGACCCCAACTCCCATCCACCGTGCTGTGACTCCCTGGGGGTCCGCAGCTCACCTTTCTCCTTGTTTCTTCCTATCCCCTCAGCTGTCCCGCCCCCCGTAGGCCCTTCCTGCCACTGACCAGGTGTTAGTACTGCCTCCTTCCTGTAAGTGAGAGGGAAGAGGTACCAAAGTAGTTAGAAACTTCCAGTAGAGGGAATGGGGGTGTCCACCTCTCCAGGGAGTGAGGAATCGAGTGCCGTGTGTAGGTGCCGCTTGTCAACAGAGTCTGGCCTGACTCCAGCGTGCCCGACACTTTCCCGCCTGGCTCCACTGCGCCCTGAGCCCCAGCACCTTCTGCACCCGGCGGCTCCATCCTGGCCCAGCCCTGCCTGTCTGTCCCATGTCTGGTTGGCCCGGAGGGGACACGTCACAGCCTGAAGACTCAGGGTGGCAGGAAGGGGAGGAAACAGGGACTGGTCGCGGTGGAGCCGGGGTGGTCAAACTTAGTCCTGGAGCAGGTAGGTGGTCGGGCAGTGCTCGAGGGGTCCCACAGTCCTGGGCCCTAACTCCCAAGGTGGCAGGAACCAGAGGATCAGACCAGGCAGTCGGCTCCTGCAGCCTAGGAGCGTAGGCTGTGCCCGATAGAGGACCCAGGTCAATCACAGTTTCTGTGGCTGTCTCAAAAAGAGAGAAAGAGAACCCAAGTCAAGTCTGGACTGGCCAGCCACAAGCAGCTTGTCACCATCTATTGGTGGCTGCCAGAACTGCCGGCTTTCTTGGGCAGCTCCTATCTCTGCAAGTGGGAAAGTGGAGAGGCTTCTGTACACTAAAGCCGGGTGTATGATCTTTCCAGAACTCCTAGCTGGTGGACCGGGACGGGAGGAAGCCTCCAGCCCCTTGGGAAGAGGAGCTTGGGGCTTTAGGGGGACAGGCTGCCCCCCAGGGGGAGAGGAGACGGTGAAAGAGGCAGACAGAAGTCACAGAGGAGGAGACAGGACAGTGCCCTGCCCTCTGACCAGGAGAGACAGGGGCATCACAGCTCGGCCTCTGGGGCTCTCCCGCCCCAACTGGCAGCTGATGACACCCCGGGGGACTCCCAGTGCCCTGAGGCCGACTGTCAGGGTGAGCAGGCCATCGCTCCACTTCCTGCCTCCATCAGCTGTTCCAGAGAAGGGGAGGGGCTGGGCTGCAGGTGGGGGGGTTGGGGAACACCTGCCTTGCCTCTGGGACTGAGAAGGCAAAGACAGGGACACGGGGTCGCACGCCTCTCGGCCCTCTTCTCCCAGCAAGGTCAAGTTCTTCACCTAAGGCCCTGGGGTCAAGGCACAGCACCCCAAGGCACCCAGCGGACAGCAACATCTTTCCAAACGTGTTTTGCGGAAAGGACTCATGGTTGTGACCTTAAATAATGCCGAGGTCTCCAGCGCCTAGAGAATTGGAGGGTCAATGTTTACTGTGGGTTGTTTTGGGGGTGAGAATGTATATGGGGGTTCAGAATGTAGGAGAAACAGCAGGGCCCTGGGCGGGGAGGGTCTAGGGTGGAGCAGAAAGAGACGTAACCCAGACACAGCTTCCCGCTGACCGCGTTGCATTACAGGACACTGGCAGGGGTCTCGA